CCCCCCCCTAGCACTGCCTCCGCCGGCACGCACGCCGGCACGCCGGCCGGCCGGCCGGCGCACTATGAAAGCAGCCATTAGCTCTAACAGTCTTTCACTCTATGTACTGATTCCTTTCCATGAGTCCCGATGTGTAGTTCTTCAGCCGTTCTATCGGACCAATTATCAATTACCAACTAAATTGCTGACGATGACTTTCAGAGAAGCTTATTCCTTTCCAGAAGCCTTTCCAGGCCATATAACACGTTTCCAGCTCCTCCTCTTTATAGCTTGGAGTTGGTAAGTAGGCAACGGAAGTTGTTGAAGCTGGTGTTGAGCCACATCTTCAAACGAAAACGCCATATTTGAGTCGTCAAGCCTTTCTGCGAATCGATGTCCACGGTGTTAACGATGATACTTACACCGCCGACGCCTCTGCTGTCGCATGTTGCAAAGCATAATTCTTATCCAGTCCCGAGAACGGTGTACAGCAGCCAATGCCTCCTCGTTTCGGCCAGTCTTATGAGGTCCTTACTGCTCTTTCTAGCTTCCATCATTGGATTCTTGACACACGCTTCCGATGCAGACGGTCGTGCATTGATAGTGCTGATCCCCACCTCGAACCTCCTTTCGAGCAGTCTGTTTCAGCCTAAAGATTTCTAAGCTTTTACAGAACCTTATGTGCAGGGGAATGAGACACATTTATACTCCTCTTCAGTATAGGCTCTCAGCGCTCTATAGAGTGCGGGTAGTAGGCCACACTGTCCCAGAGTGGATGAGCGCTTAAAGGCAGAGCTCACGATAATTTTGGGTAATCCATATTTATTTATTTATTTCATACGCTATATAAGACAGCGTGAGAAAATATAAATGCGAAACAACCGTAAATGGAACTCAACAACAATTCTTAACAAACACAAGAAACTTGACACCTATGCTTGTAGTATAAAGTTTGCTGCGGACCGTTTGAAAGAAGTACTANAGCTGCGGATGGATATAGATTTATTGATACGCAAAAAAGATAGTCCAGCCCTAATAGTAAAAAAATTATATATAACACATATTATATATAAAACTATTATGACGCAAAGTGGGAGATAAGGAAAACAGTGCTATGAAGGCGAAGAAACTGCGTGAATGAGTATTTCCGAAGTGAAAAAAGGCTCCAAAAAATCGGTAGAGGGGGGGGGTCAGGCGAGAATAAGACCAGAAAAATGAAGGAGAATTGGGCGTTTGGACGAGCTATACAATGTGTCAGTGCATACGTACGGGTCCTGGTGCGAACAGCTGATGACGGTAAGCAGATATTCATTCACTCATAAGCATAGGTTAACAAAAAACCCTAGTAACAGCAAAAATAGCCACCTTTTCAGCCTCTTGAGGAAGAAAATTAAAACAAGCATCGTAACAGCAAAAAAATAACAGAATAAAAGAATGGGAAAAAATCATCGCCTCATCACTCGGCGATCAGCTGATGTGCGTGTGAATCCCAGAACGAATACTGCAATCTGTATCGCTTCGACACTCGTCTGACGTGACATCGATCGAGGGGCGGGAAGTCCGGGCGATCCGGTGACGGGGCTCCCTCTACGCCCTAGCTATTGAGTTTTGGGACTCGACAGCGCCCTTCTTGTTCCTTGGGAGCCACTGGGTCTTTTTGGGGGAGAACTAAGAAACGATTGCTTTTGTGAACTGTACCCTTAGTTTTGGAGGCGGTCCGAACCGATTCCTGGTTACTGTTCACTATTTTGAATGAGATCTTAAACCTGGGCTGATGTGCAGGATACTAACCGCACCCGCAAGCTCTCCACACTGTGTGGATACGTCTGCGAGGAGATAGAAGGGATAACAAAGATGAAACGAGGAATCCATTCTCCGAATCCATCTGCGTCTCTAGGCCCTGAACTACCAGTAACTTTGGGCCGCCGATCTGATCCCCTATTCGCCACCTGGGATCGTACCACGTAGCCTCTGAATCAACCGGCTAGAAACGCTTGAGCGAGAGAAATTTCAGTAAGGGAGGTCCGTGTAAGAGTGAGTGTCTCCATCACATAAAGGCCAAATTCATGTCTATGAAAATGAAGTAGTTTGCCGTCATTCATTCCGAGTACTAAATGCTGGTTATGGGATGAGAAGATGTTATGACAGAGAAACATGGAAGCAAGCATTGACGAGCAAATCAGAAGATGCGCCCACCCGGTTCCTAATGCTCTACTGATCTTTGTGTTATACATTGACTGCGTGAATAAGTGCTGCATGATTGCATAGTTAAAGTTCTGCAAAAAGTAGGGCCAGGAAAAAAAAAAGCTACGACGCTCCTGATTTGGAGCCACTTTATGATTGCCTAATTTATTTGTTTTGTTCAGCTTGCTGTTGCTGTAGTGCTGAACAATATTATCATCGCTCTCCTCAGTTTCCTCTTTACAATTAGCATCAGTGCCTATATAGCCGATACAGATATCGTTTATTATTACCAGTTCGAAACATCAGGTACTATTATAATAATAGTAGCAACACTATTTCTAGACAAACTTAGGTGTGAACAAGCTAGTTAGTTGCCAGCATTGAAAATTTTTCCTGAATATATGCTGTACTTTTCATATATATAAAAGGTATGTAGTCGAAATAGATTGGAAATGGCTGATCAAGTATTAAAGGACTTCTCTCACTTCATTTCTTTACGCTCTCCGAGCCCATTGATCAATGTAGTACCCATGTGCAGACACTGCTTGTGAAGAAACGCTGTGCAAGTTCAGAGGATCTCATGTGCGAGATGGAGTTCTCTGCTTTACTAGTTTACTTGTACCTTTTTTTCGGCAGAGTGCTTACTTAGTTAGGACGGAAACGAAAAAATCTTGAACCTTTGTGAATGGTATCAAGAAAGCGTTGCCTGGCATCCCTTGAACCACTTTCCGAGTACGTCAAGGCTGAGACCTTTCTTACAGACACTGGTTTTATCTGCGCTATGACATGGCGTACCTTCAAAGGCAAGCTTTACATATTTCATCATCAGGAGAGGACACTACTCATTGCACCATTACAAACATGGGTCCGAATGCGTTCCCCAGCTGTTCCTCTCAGCTTTTTCGTTTCCACTGACCCGAAGCGTTCTTCAGTTTCTCCGGTCACAAGTCAGCACTCCGCTCACCGTAAATCGCAAAACCAGTGCCACTAATTGAGCAGTGTCTGCTCTCTTCGGTCTGCGGTCATGTAATCAGCCTTTCTGGCATTCAGCTGATGTCCTCACACTGTAAGACAGTCGTACCTAGCTTTTGCTCAATGAAATCCTTCTTTGCAGGCGAGCATCACGCCGTCAGCATAAAAAACGTTCATGGCACTGGCTTTTTAGGATTGTGTGTGATGGCTCCCACGACGACAACGAAAATAGTTAGGGGAGCGCAGAACCTTATTGTAGTCCGACGGAGATAAGAAATTGTGGAAATAACTGCTGCTGTTTGTAGTCGACTCATTGAATTTAAGAAGAGTATCAACTCACTCAACTATAATAGTATCAATTCGATAGAATCTTCGGTTCCGTGCTGCCGCAGAACAATTCATAAAACTTCACGCAGCTCGCGTTGGAAAGCAACCTTCAAGTTCGAAAGGGGGTTTCGCTTCCGTTTTTTCACGATATGTTTCTGACGAGAAACGAACGGCCTGTATTGCATTACTGTCTCTGCAACAGGGGACAGAACCACAGTGGATGATGGGCAGTCCTGACGAGTTCTCGAACATAGTCATCAACAACTCGTTCAAAGATCTCCATACTATGCAGGAGGACGACCTGGTTGACAAAGTTCGTCAACTATAAACTTCGAGGCTTGACGTGAACAAGGCCAAGTTCCTGAGCCCCGAGGAGTGCACGGATTCAGTAATAGTTTTGAGGGAGCTATCGAAAGGGTACACGTCTAGTGATATCTCGATAGAGAACAGCTCGCTGTCGGTAGTGCGATCAATGCTGTAAAATCGTGAGTAAAGGGAACACGGATGGAATGAAGAGAATTCTCTGGTATCGTCTGCAACCCACGGTGCTCCAGAATGCTCAAACGAAAGGTGTATCTGGAAACGGCGTCGTTGGCGATGCTCTACGGCAGCGAGTGCTGGCCCATAAATGAAATCCGTGGGAGACAGCTTAACACCGCTAAAGTAAGGATGATCAGATGTTCTAGCAGTTGGTCTGGCCTGAACCAAAAACGAAAACATTAGGGCGGTCATGCCAACAGCCCCTTCCAGTTGAAGGGCCGTGTCTGATGGTACGGACCCGGATAGGGAGTGCAAAGGAGTTCCCATGACCTTCCCGAATAATTCAACGGTAACATTAAGACACCTTTTCGCTGCATAACGACTTTACTAGCGCAGGAACAATCTACTACTTCTTATCTGAGGTGTAATGGTTGAAGCCCATTCTAGGTAGCTCGAAATTCCTACCGGTATTTAGGCGTGACCCATTACTCTGGAAGAAAGGAACATTGATGCATTCTACAATTTTTTAACAGCCCTAATCTTCAAAATTACCTCGAAACTGCAGCTTGTACCTTTTGCAAGGTACTATAACGTTACAGACCTTGGATTTTATTTTGGTGCCGTGACTGACGTACTCATAAGCGATGGATTTTCCTTTCTATGGGTTCTCATCTATAATATTCCAAGCTTGGTGGCAAAAATTACGAGATTCTTCCGTAAGTTTTTCAGTTAACCCAGAAAAAATTTTTTATCGTGGTTTTGAGTATTTCAAACGTGAACCTCTCGTAAATGAAAAAAGCTAGAGTTTAGCTATCATTCACTCATGTAAATAAAGGGTGTCATAAATACTCGAGATAGCTGGGTATCATAACACGATTCTCTTGAAGTTCTATAGTTTTACCTATCTTCGAAGCCAGTTCTCACAACAATCAATTTGGATTAATTTTCTTTGGGCCGCTTTGTGAGGGCTGGACTCGAATTTGACAATGAATCACAGTGGAGCTGCTTAGAAGCGCAAATAGCTATGATCTACTACTAAGGCGATTGGGTTGAAAGGCACAGTTCACGATAATCTTGGGTAATTCAGATTATGACGAAAAATTGAAGATAAGATGGAAAATAGTGCGACGAAGGCGGTAGCGTGAATCGGTGTTTCCAAAGTGAAAAAAGGCTTCGAAAAACCGTTAAAAAGGGGGGCTGATGAAATGAGTCTAGAAAAATAAAAAAGAATGGGGCTTTGGACGAGCTATACAATGTGTGTCATTGAGTACGTGTGGGTCCTGGTGCGAATAGCTGACTACGGTAAACGAAAATTCATTCACTCACAAGCACAGGTTAATAAAAAAAAACTCTAGTAACAGCAGAACTAGCGCGCCTCTTTAAGCCTCTTGCCGGTACAAAATGAAATAAGGGATTGCAGCAGAGAAAAACAGATCAAAAGAATAGGAAAAACATAGCCTCATTACTCGGCAGCCAGCTGGTTGTGTGTGGGTCCTAGAGCGAATATTGCAACCTGTATCGGTTCGACCCTCGTCTGACGTGACATTGATCGAGGCACGGGAAATTCGGGCGATCCGGTAACCGACTCCTACAACGCCGTAGCTGTTGAGTTTTGGGACTCGGCAGTGTCCTTCTTGTTACCCTAGAAGACCGCTGGGCATCCCTAAGGGGAGAACTCAGAAACAATATTTAGCATTAACTGTGCCTTTAACAGAACGAAAACAGTTCATCCGTGGTATGATTTGGAGTCATCGCTTTAGGGGGGAGTCAGTATGGCACCTAGAGCTGCCTTGAACTATCGTTTATCTCCCAATTATGTCAATCCACCGTCTAAGAGGGGAACATAAGGCATTCGCCTATCAGAAACTGATTAGAGGTATAAGACATTAAGAGTCCTCGTATTTGGAAGAAGCAACAAGAGTATATTGGACTTTGAACTTTGATTTGAACTTTCTCATTTTTCGTGAAGAGGTTTTCCCTAAAAAACTCCCCCGAAATTGCGGATGAAACGCTAAACGGCTTGATTTCAGCACCCATATTAATGTTGTGTGCTATTTTTAATGAAAAAGGTGCGACATCCGGTGACTTATCCAGGACCAGTGCAATCATCGTAACATGTCTCTGCGGTTTCTTACTCAACGCAATTGCATCTTACCAGGTACCGTGTCTGTTGCATGACTACTCCTATCTGGAGAACGTCCGTTGCGCGCGTCCGTCGAAAATAGATCACCCCGCCCACTTCGGGCGCGGCGCACCTCACTGAGGTATCAAGTTAAAATTACAGTACCACCAAGAGTCAGTGGAGCGAATGATTTGTCCGTGTCTTTGAGGTAACTGCCATAAAAAGCGCAAATCGTAGGCGCCCCACTAACAACTAACTGCGACGTCCGTCAAGTATCGCGCGCCGACCTGCCGCATGCGACGGCTGCTGCGTGACCTAGTTTTGACGGAAGCGCGTAACGAAGCGCACCCCTTCTTTTGGGACCTTTTTCTTCGATCGGTTGATGCGCCGTTTTACCACTATTCCGTTCTAATATGATAGTTCAAAGATGAACTCTGAAAAGGAATTCACAGAAGTAGCATCTATAGCTAGATATCGAGCAGAATCCTTAAAGACTATAACTCAACAAATGATCGAATGTAGCGGTTGAGGGTGGTTTTTTTCTTGAGAGCGTGCTTTCTAAATAATGATAAGTGCTGATAATTCAGCCTCTTTTACCATACTTTACCGGAATATCTCCTACTCTACGTGCCCATTTCCATTTTCTTGTGGGAGTCACATTAATCGTCTGTTATCATGGATATGGTAAGTGAAATTTGTTGCCAATACTCGAATACTGCAGAACATCGAGATGTTGTAAGATAACAAGTCACCGATGCCATTGCATGTGCGAACACCGTCCATTTGGGTGGAGGTGGTGTAGTACTATCACATACGCATGGTTTGGGTCCCTACTCCGGACAAAAACTCACCTAGGCCTACCAAGCTTCCATCACTCCGCAGGTACCAGCCTCGTTTGGGAGGATAAAACCACTAACTTGTACATCGACTGGCCACTGCAAGTCATTGTATAGGCGACAGGCGCATTCAATACGCCACTACGATTCTGAATGGAAGTCGAGTGAGAGGGCACATCCCAGAAACGGGAATGAGTAAGAGTTCATCCTTTCTATCAATGCGGATCTAAGGATTGCTACAACTCTGAATGGCGTCGGAAGAATACCTAATAGAGAATGCACAACTACAATTTTATATGATCTTTTCCATTCCACTCCAAACAACGTAGCTTTTTGTAGTTTTTTATACCGTCATCTTTAGGTTCGCTCGAATACTTGATAGATGTCGCGGAGGAGTACGATGAAGAAGGAACAATATTCGCAATATTTGGACCTGTGAACCGTGTTTTTCTTCTACTTTACGACATCGCACCATTCATAGCTCTGGTAAGCTCTATCAGATGATCAAACGGAAACTTTCCGACGAATCCTTTGTTTACGAAACAACCGATTCGGTTGCCAGAGCGTTAGACATTCATCAATCACCGAATTTCAGCATGACACTTTTGCGGATGAGGGACTTACATGTACCGCTGTAGGAGTGACTAATAATTTCTTTCTTTTGTTTCTCGATGATATGAAGCTGAGTCCACCACGTACACTATGTCCCAGTAGCATATCATGAAAACAATTTTCTTGTCGCGGGCTGAGCCTGTAAGCAGTTACAACCGAAGCAGCGCTCGACCAGTAATTTTCAAGGGGACTTGAACATACTTGGCCATTTGATCAAATTGGGGAAATTCGAATTTTGGTTTGATTTCTGCTTCACATTATTGAGAAACTAATCCTCACTTCTCCACTATTTATCCTTTTATAATCAAACTGATTGCGGTGATATATTGGCAAGTGACGCACTATCACACACACACACAAGGTGCCGGTTCGAATCCCGCATCTATAGTTCAAACAAATTAAGCTTTTCATCCCTCGGGGTTGATTAACTGGTACCCAGAATCGCCTCGGTGGATAAAAAGCGCTGAAACGTACATTAGCAGGCCACCGCAAGCTATTGTATAGGCAACATACGTTTTCAATGCGCCATCACTGCGACTCTGAATGGAAGTTGAATGCAGGGCTCATCCCTCAGACGAGATTGATCAACACCCAAAAACTCCATCCTTTATATTCGAAATGCTGTACCTACTGTCTTCGAAAGTGCCTGCCTGTTGATGAAAATCGTTCGGACCCAATCAGCAGTGGTAGAGTTCGTACGTGTGATCATTCAAGAAACGGAGACGCTTGAGAAGAGCTAGACACGATTTTGTTGCGGTCGAAAAAAAATTTCTTACCTTTCCGAAAATTAGAAACTAGGCATCATTTCCAGGTTAACGGCCTCGTGGAACTTGTGGATAGCGTAAAAGAAGCTAACGTAGGTTTCTTGACAGTTTCACAATGTTGCAACCAGTCCAAAAAGGATTCATTCTGGACTCTCGTAACTATATGTCTGTACAACATACTCATTAACGACGTATCTACCTGTATCCTACCATATGACTAAGATTAATAAACCTTCAAATTAAAACTGATTGTGAGATGGGAAAATCGAAATAGGTCGCAGTTCCTTCTAGATTGGCAAGAAGAGCAGAGCATCCGTTGAGGGGGGCGATCGCTGATGTAGGAAATATAGGACATGGGGAGGGCGATATCATGGGGAACTGTCTCTGATAGCGACATACAAAGTAACAACAAGATCTTCTAAAAACCGTAGATGATGATCTTTTGGAAGAGTGGGTGGGCCGCTGCCTGTTATTGTTAACAACTAGCTATATTCACCGTTGCCTAACTAGAAACCACCACTGATTCAGACCTCAGCCTTCATCAGCTCCTAACAATGAGTACCATTAGCCAAGGACCAAAAAACTGGTGGTCCAAAACAAAACCATTGCAGGAACGAAACAGACTCTCTACCTATATAACTGCAGTTACGCCCTTCTTAATCTTCCTCGTTTATTTCTTTATAAATGCAAGTAAAGTGAACAGGCAGAAAGAGGTATGAAATCATTCCCACTCTCAAAAAACTCTCTCGTGGTTAAACATTCTATAGGTGATTATTCTGGGCGCAACTATTCGGGGTAGCATTCAGGAAATATGTATCGAAGAAGCATTGAAGAGTCGCTCGGTGTAACATTATAAGACTTCATCAGGGTGAATACCTCACCTCTAACCAACTCTTCTCCTCCAACTGATTGGGGCAATGAAGCTCAACATTCGAATGAAGTAATTTCTATTAGATCCCATCCGTACCGAAGGTGGAAGTAACCCAAAAAGGCAAAGGAAGGCTTTATTGCTTGATCAGACGCCTAAAACACCATTCTTACATCCGAAACGAAAGTGCCGTTGCTTCTGAGACACTGAAAGGAGAAATAGTGGGAGATTAGACCAAAGCACCCTTAGATTATTCATCAGCATTAGCTATTCTGAAAATCGAGCTTTTCAAGAGGGGCTCGTGCTTTTTGCTTGAATATTTGACGCGGCTACTTTATCGTCATATATGGTCGGGTCTGATCTGATCTAACCTCTATTATTTCCCCTTTCAAGATCTCAAGCCAATTCGGGAAAGCATGTACTTCACATCGCATCAATTGATCCCCTTTATAACACTAGACAACAATCTCAAATAGTTGAATCAGTATATGTTCGTGACATTAGGAGCGTTTTCCCTTTCAAAAGTCATCTTTTAGTGGACATGGCTCTTCTCACCCACACCCGATCATCCATCCTACGACCGAATTCATGAGCTAGACTCGTACGAAAAGGATTTCCCTAGTAAGTTCCCCGAGATTCTCGCTTAGTTCTTGCGATTCATTGAAGAAGCTCAACGCGATCTCAACATACACAATGGTGATCAAGAAGCCTGATAGATTTACTCNTTTTTTTTTTTGAGAACCTTTGAGAGTATTCTGAAAGTTTTGCACTAACAACGGGAAGCAAAATAAGTGCAGGCTATTCCTATGTTTTTGAAGTCGATTCAAGAGTTTTGCAGACTGCAGTGTTAGCAAACTGGTAATACATAGGATGGGTTACACTCTATTGTCAAGACCTTCTGCCCATTCTTCTCACACCATTTTTACTCATACCAAATCCAAGCTGTGGAAAATCCATAAAAATTAAAACATTACTCAACAATCCAACCTGAGGGCCACCAATATTGGACACCTTGGTTATGAAGCATGTAAAGGGTCAAACAACGGAGGCGACGCCCCCGCAGGCGGTCTTCCGTACCGGGTGCAGCACGCCTTCGTGAGCCGTGTGACTGCAAAAACTGAGATTGGTAGAGGGACAGAGTTAAGGGAGCTATTGCCCTCTGTGTGCTCCACCTTTGAATCGTATTCTACTCGCGAAATCCACTCTGGACCCGCAAAGTGACAGTACTGGTGAACAAAATACATGAAATTCATCCGTTCTATATATTATTCGTTCAGAATAATCCCTAGGGCCAGCGTCGTACTTGAAACATTTGACTACACTACTTGATCATACGATCTGAAAGTCAACGCGTAACATCACGGAGTGTCTGGATCACAACGTCACCATAGTAATAAAAGCATTATATTTTCAGCTCAAGAAACACCAATGCTCGAACAAAAATCTTCGGAGGGCATGGTGGCCGCTAAAACAACCCCTTCTACAGGAACTCTTTCGAATGAGAGTGCAGAACCTATGTTACGGAAGAGTAAATTACCTACAAGACGAATTAAGCAGTCGGCAGAAGCGCTGCTACGTACTAAAGAAGCGTTGCGACGTTCTAAAGAAGCTAAGCAGAAGAAATTTGGTGAAGAGCAAGGAACACAGTCAGAAAGGTCACGTCAGAAGCCAGTTAAACCGCAAGACACTCCAATTGGAGCTGTTGCAGTAAGTGGTTCGAAAGAGAAGGGTGGATTAAGTAAAGAAGGAAAAGAAGCCCCCACACAAAAAACAGTAAGTTCGAAGGAAGGAGGAGTTGAGCAAAACCGAATTCCCGAAATCCCCACACCTGCCCCCGAGGAGGACAAAGGAGTTTCATACTCCGGCGAAGCAATACCCAACAAAGGAGTTTCATACTCCGGCGAAGCTATACCAAAGAAAGGAGTTTCATACTCCGGCGAAGCAATACCAAAGAAAGGAGTTGTCGGCTCATCAAACGAAAACCCCATGGTAATGGCTGGAGACAAAAATCGCGCTAGCAAAGAACTACGTGGCTCTGTAGAACTCTGGCCAAGAAAATAACAGAGCATGTATCAGATCTACGTTACATATCCAGAGCTCATATTCTACAGCCTATTCATGATATATTCGCCGTTCTCCATAGAGGCTGTACTGTTAAATAAATATTTATTAAAGTTTCTTTGGAAAAAAAANAAAAAAAAACTACAGTATTCGGCGAACCGAAAAAGTTTGACCCTAAGTTTTTCCATTACGGAGAGTAAGGTTGAAGAAAATGATAAGTATACAAACACTCCCCACTGCGACTCTGAACTTTGCGATGGGATACATTTTCCCTTCACTGTAAGGAGAAGGTATTTCCCTTCATCTATTGATGCTTTATCCACAGTGAGCTCAAAAGACACTTGGAAATGGGTTAGGAGCCATTTCCATATGTCTTTCGAGCTCTACTGTGGATATAGCATCTCACGTTCATTCTTCTACGAATACTGTTACCTTTCAAAACCCAACATAATACTCGGGATAGGATGGGAAGCCTACACACAGCAAAGCCCATCGTTTCTCCTCTAGTCCGCAAATTTGTTAATTGGCACCGTTCGGTCAACAAGTACCTTTTACTAGTCCTAAGCGCGCAAAAACAAGCCAGATTCCCAGTAACATGAAATGAAGAAATTCAAAAAAAAATGTATTCCTTCTGGGCACCTGCCCGCCTTCACATAGATGAGGAGAAAGAGTTTCTTGATGCACAACATTCAGACAGTATTTGGACAAATGCCAAACGAAGTCGTAGTGTAAATGTTGACATGAAAAAAGCGGATCGAGTCTTACTACCTTTTATAGTCCCTTAGTTGGGAAAATTTTGGCAGCGTTCGAATTCTGAGGTTCGTAGTTATTCTCACCGATCATTTTCTTCCTATCTCACATCACCCGAGTTCACCTCGTATCACGGAAAGTAGAATATGCTAAAGTTTCTTGCCCGCAATGGTCCCTCATCAGCTCATATCTCATACACACCTATACATGTGTTTAGCGAATTACTGTACCAGTCTGATCGCTCGGGTTCCCTCCTTCCCTTTACAATGTAATAGAGCAGGCTTCACCTTCCACTCCTCTTTTCGGAAAAATGATCGGTTTGTAACCACAAGGAGATCGAAGTCCCCATTTGACCCTCATCAAACCTTGTCAGCTCTTATCGGTTTCTGCCACCAATCATCCACGACATCAATCTGCTCAAGTGCCAAGGTTTCACTTTTAACACGAAAACGTCTCTCAACAAATCTTATCACTTATTATCAGTTCCTGCCACGAAGCATTCACGTTCCCTCACCTACCACAACATTCACCGAGGGGTCAAGGTTCCACGGGTTTGGAATCTTCTCCCCGAAGACGGCGTCGCGCACGCCGCACCCGCCGCGTATCGCAGGATTGCGATGGAAGATTGGAGCGCGCAATTTGCAGGATAGGGAGTC